ACAGTTGGACGTGTCACACCCTGTGAAACGTCGTCATAGGGGGTTTCAACTTTGGATTTTTACGTATCGTTTCGGAAACTTGTCCGGACGAACGATGGGGGGTTTCCAACAAACTTAACAAAGTCCCTCGCGCCAAAGGCCCGAGGCTTGAGCGAGGGACTTACGGCTAATGTCAATTTTCAAGCGTGAGATCGGCCGGGGCATTTGGCCAAAAACACCTTTGCATTGTAAAACATTTTTTTGTACTTATCTTTCTCTCAAGTCCCAAAACAAAGAATATGTGCAGTTGTTCCCTCTACATCCTTCAACTCTCATTTTTTCAAAACACCCAGCGGCTCTTGAGATAAATGGAAAAAGCCTTTGGGGCTGAACGCCGGGGCTAACAAGGCTCACAGTGACCAGATTTGCTGCGCGTCAGAAACATATGATTTTGACGTACAGTCAAAACAAGACTTTTGAAATGCATTATTGGTCTTTAAACGTGTGTGATCAAGACTCATGAAGTTCTTTTCATCCTTCACTCGATCATCCATTTTAAGTAGGTCTTTTAGTTCTTTATGATACCATCCACTCGCAACTCATTGAACTTTGTCTTACTGGTTTATCAGACTTAGTTAAAAATACAAGAAAACATCCTTTGCAGTTCCAGAAGCTAGAAGCTAGACCTCTTCCGAACAACTGGCAATCAGCTATTGGTGATCGACCGTTTCGATGTTCTAGACTTCGTGGTCAATGTTCAATTCCAATGCAACTGGAAGAAAATTCAAATCAAAGAACAATCACTTGAACAAAAACAAAGAATGGAAAAGTTGAATGGAAGAAAATAATAACGAAGTGATAAAACTGGAAATATATCTAAAGAAAACAATCTGGTTCAATTTTGGGGGTGAATTTTAATTGTTTGTAAATGATATGGAATCAAAAGTAAAACATAGGATCAGTGAATCACAGCACTCCCAAAATTTCAATGAGTAATGGAGAATAAAAAGTTCATCTTCTTAGAATCAGTGGCAGCAGTATTCAAGTGAAATGAAGTGAAGTGAGGAGCTTTGATGGACCTTTGAGTTGATTCTACACGGTGAAGGCTTGAAAAGGACAATCATGAATGAAGTGATAAAATCGAAATTTGACTAATTTAACAGTCTCTAATGTAGAGGTGTATAAGATGGATTGGACAGAATCAAGTCCCATCTGTGATGTTTTGTAATTTCCATTCTATTTGACCTTCAAGATGGATTGGTAGAAAAGCATTTTCCCCAGATGCAGCGCTTGGAATCCTTTGCAGCATGGAGGTGTGCCAGTGCGGTAAGAGCTTTTGTAGATGTGATGCGATTGAGTTGTCGGTGTGATACGCAATCAGACTAGACTTTGAAGCTTGTAGGGAATCTTGAAATAGGACGTGAGCCAAACAACAGTTTGATCATCTGGGTTTTGAGATTTTTCCCAGAAAGTCCATTTTTGTCCACCGCAGTCGTGTATGGCCCTGAGGGACCAAGCACTTTGAGCCCCGAAGGACATTTTCAATCTTTCTCAAGAGCCGCTGGGTCTTTTGAAAAAATGACAGTTGAAGGATGTAGAGGGAACAACTGCGCATATTCTTTGTTTTGGGACTTGAGAGAAAGATAAGTACAAAAAAATGTTTTATAATGCAAAGGTGTTTTTGGCCAAATGCCCCGGCCGATCTCACGCTTGAAAATCGACATTACACCACGGGGGGATCCTGGGTCGGATTTTCGCCTTTAAATGGTCGAGTCAGTATTCCGTCCCATGTCCGTCGGGGGTTCACCATCAGGCCGCCTCCCCTGGGCCTCCAGGCGGTCCGGGCCCCCGGCTTGTACAGCCTTCTGCTGCACATCGAAGGCCGCCAGGAACCCGACGCATGTCGCCCATGCGCCGTTTTAAGGCCGCCTGCACGGAAAAATTCGCCAAGGCTCGACAGATCATCGTCATGCAGGAAGTTTCCGGATCAAGATGCTGACCCAGAGCGAAGATGTGCGAGACATTGACCGCTAAGATCACGGCACAAGCAAGGTGGCCCAGCTCCACACCTTCATGCTTGACTTACGTCTCACATCCCGGATCTTTGTAACCCTCCTCGCCAAGCTCTTCGTGTCAACAGGCTTTTGTTCCAGGGTTGGAACCCTTTCGAGATCGCACAAGGTTCAGACCCGATATCACTGGAGTTAGGAAGGATCTCGCTCTCGCCAACAGATGGGCCACATCGCATTTACCTGCCAAACATAATCCTTCATCCACGACGGCAGCAGAGATCTCTCGACTTTTCTTCTTGGTGGCGTTATGCCAGTGCGTTTTGCATCTTCGATTTCAAACACTCTGGTTTTTGTTTCCCCTGCCGGGCTGGACATTCCAGTCTCACAGTGCAATATATCGCCTTTTCACAATTTGTTTCATTATCATCCATTGCCAGGACATCCAGCAAATTCAGCGTTTCAATTCCCTTGCTGTGCTTATTCCCTCCCCAAGTCTCCATTAACTGCACTCCATTCACTGCCGCCAACGAATTGCTCACACTGATCCCGCTCTCATTCTGGTCCCAAAATGGCTCAAGGAACCCAACCGCCCAACCGATGTAAGCTTCCGCAATTTTCATTCTATAAACGGCGTGAATTCCAAAACTTTGGCTGATTGCTGTAACCTGTAGATTTTGAATTGATCAACTCGGTGGCTTCCAATCCCAAGTGGAAGTGCTTGGTCTGTGGACGACAGATGGGCGAAATAGGCATAGGGCCACATTTGATTTCCGCGCCTCACCTCGAAGCTGTTGCCCGTTACGAGGCTTGTCTAGCAGCCGAGAATGCAGTGCTCCCCGGCCTCAACGACGACCCCCCTCTGTCCCCAACCGTACCTGCCTCTCAGGAAGATATGTTTGGTGACAATGACCCAGCACCAGACACGGACACAACGAGACGACCTCCCTCGCCTTTTTCATACCTCCGTGCGTTTCAACTTGCACAGGCCAATCAACCTAGCGACTCGGATGACTCCGACAAGGAAATCGACGTCCACAAGGTACTCGAGGCTATTCGAGCCATGGACGACGACGACGACTGGGGTCCAATGGACGAAGCCGCGGATGAGGCCATCCTGGAGGCTGATATGCGCAGTGGGCAGCTGTTAGATTCTTCAGAGTGGTATCCTTTTAAGAAGAAAGAGGTACGTCCACAGCCCAACAAATACCAACAAATACACTCAAAAAGGAGCAAATAGAAACTGATTCGCTCCTTTCATTTCCTCGGACAGCACGTTGTCGCACTCTTGATCATTGGCTCTACTCGAAGCATTTTATCACGGTCCCAATACCATCGAATCCGCGCCATATTGCTGATATGCAAAGTGCACTTGCCTGAATGGGGCGCGTTACGTGCTTTAAGCATCAGGCTGAAGAAGGATCTGGGCCTTGAGGTCAGTGAACGGACCAGCCCGCACGGCAAGCCCCTTTTTGGCTTGAAGGTGCAGACCATCATCACCAATGTGAGTCTTCCAAGATCATTGTCTGATTGTAAAGCGCCTCTGACTATATTGTCTGCTTCTGTCACAGGAACTCGCTAACCCTTTGGTCAGCCCGTTCTTGGTATCGCTTCCCAAATTGCCAACAACAAACGAGCCCATCAACCGATTATCCCAATCGCAAAAATGGCGCGAAGGTTTTAGCAAAGACCTTCGTGTCCAAATGGTAGTCTCTCGTGGAAAGCATTGGTTCATATACAAGCCCGTTCAAATCTTTTCGCAGCAGGTCGTGGTCCCGGCCTTCTTCTTTCAGATTAATGGCAGACAAATGGCGCAATGCCTCACAACAACTGTCCAAGAGTGCCCCAACAACCCATCAGAATTTCAAATACTCATACCCTCCGAGAACTCTTTCGACTCGAATGAGTTCGTAACTATCGATGTCAAAGCGTTCTGGAAAAACTCTACTGACATCCAAATACATGAAGGAAGGACCTTGCAGTCGCATTTGTATCGTGTGTCCCCTTATTTCGCTCCTATCCTATCCACATGATTTTGTAATCTGACTCGTATGTTGCCGCAGAAGAAAGCAAAGACGGTTTCATCCGTATCCCAATCACCAACGCCTGGCGCCGACGCGCCAATGGACTTATAATTAAACACATCCTGTTGACGTTGTATTCTGACGATACCTCTGGCAATGTATCGAAGGCTTGGAACAAGCATATGAGTATATTCTTTACACTCGCGGGCTTACCTCCACATATGACAAACGAAGAGTATAATATTCATTTCCTGGCGACGTCGAACTGCGCATCTGCACTGGAACTGCTGGATGAGGTCGTCGATGATATTAAGTGAGTGCATCCTCATCATCTGCCCTTCTGTGTCTTTTATACTGATCCTATCCCCCGATGCAAGTGAACACAGCGCCAATGGATTTGTTGCGCATGACCACGTGACTGGCACCGACGTCCTGGCGATGGTTGTGGTGTTGTTCCACCTCGGCGATGGCCCCATGCATGCCGAGATCAGCAACACCACAAACCCTGCAAACACGTTAACGCCCTGCCGCATATGTGATTTACAAGTCACGAATATGGCTGACAAAAAAAGTAAGCAGTACGTGTCAGACTTCATTGGAGTGGACTTGGACGGGGAACAAGTAAGCCAACCAAACCCGTTTTCCCCCCGCATTGATTGGTTGAACTCGCAAAATTGATCAAACAACCAATGTACTCTACCATTGCCACAGTTCTCTCTACCCAAACGCGATTGGGATCACACCCGTGAAAGAGCTTCACGATTATGGGTGTTGGCTCAGAGACCTCACAGCAAAACGGCGGTCAAAACGGAAGCGCGGAAGTATGGATTCCGTGATTCCGTCTTGGATTATTTCCTCAAAATGGTCCACGAAGCGCCAGACACTTGCGATGTCGCCAAGCTATGCCAGGATTTGACCAACCAACTAGGCGCCCATTTGTTCAACCCCATGTTGCGGCTCAGAGGTACGAGGATTCCTGCAGATGGCGCTGACCGTTTGGATTTCCTGAAATCGTGTTTTGATTTTCTTTTTGCCTTTCCAAGGGTTCAACGGACACCAAGACACCCCACCGCGAATTGTCAGCTCGGTCCTCCTGGGCATTGTCAAAAGGCCTCAAAATAGCAGCGATTCAACCTCACACTCTCATTGTTCATTACCAGAGTCTCGTCGGAAAAGACTTCCGGACCATTCTTCAGGCTGCCCCTTTTGTTTTTTTGGATTATATTCCTGAAGAAAAACGTCCTCTGTGGAAATCCTTGTGTCATTTAAGTTCATACATCTTTCAGCACGAAATAACTAACATGGAAGAATATCTGCAAACCATGGAGTCTGTGATCTTGATGTTTTTCCATGAACTTATCCAAAATTCGGCTCAATGGGTTAATAAGCCCAAATTCCATATGCTGAGCCACTTGAAAGATTCTGTGGAACGTTTTGGACCTGCTAACCTTTGCATGACAGAGAAGTTTGAGTCTTACAACGGTGTTTTGCGTGCTGCCTCAGTGCATTCCAACCGCATGGCTCCAGGTCGGGACATCGCCAACACCTTTAACACTTATCAATTGATGCGAGCCCTCCTGTCGGGCAACACCTTCTTTCACAAGGAATTGGGTGCCCGATGTGCGGCTGGACCGCAAGTGCGAAGACTTCTGACCTCGATGCCGGAATTATCTAAGGCGATGGGCCTCGACCCTAAAGCCAAAGGCGCGGCTGTCTTTTCTGCTGGGCGTAAGGTTTTTTGGTGTCCATTCACAGACCACGTGGCCGTTTTAACAAAGTTTTTGTCCCCTTCAGCTCGTGTCGAGGTGTCCACTGATGTACCCGAGTTTCTCGCAAGCGAAGATCTATTGTGGATCGAACATCAAAGTGTTACTTTAGTCAATCATCAGACAATTTGCAAAAAGGACTTTGTGAAGGTGTGTCCCCCAGGCATGTGGGAACTGGTCTCTTGAATGTGAGTTCGCTGACTCTTGAAACCTCTCAGCTCAAGTCCAGGGATGGAGTCTTTCAAGTGGCGGCTATTTGGAAGCCGGAGAATCACTCTGCAAATAGATCAGTCATCTTACTTCAGGAGATCCAACCGGGTGGTATATATCCTTTTTATGGCATGCGTGAACTCATCAGGACTTTGCGCAAAAGATGGGTCAAGATAACGGTAAGGAACAATAGATTGTCATGTTCATAACTCACCGACCGCTCGCTAATTGACATTGTAGGATGTTGTTTGCCTTTTGAATGTGCAACACAATTGCCATCGTTCCAATTGCGCAGTCACGGAAGGCGCGAAGAAACGACTCGAAAGAAGGGAAACTTCTGCGACGATCAGCACCATCGGCCATGTGGAAAATGACTGGTTCATCCTGAACAGTGGAAGCCACTACTCCGCCAAAACGCATCGAGCAGTGGCGAAAGTTCCGTCACAAACCATTTCACCCGCTGAGTGGTTGGCAGCATTTGAAAAAGGGCTCAAAGTCTGGCGGTCTGTTCCGGTGAAGCCACGTAAAAAAAGGCAAGCAAAGAAAGGGAAGGACAAAGGGAGGGCAGACGATGGAGATGAGGATTTTGAACAATCCGATTCTTCTGCGGATTGAGGCCCTCGTGAAGAGTTCGCTGTGCATAAAGGAATTATCAAACGCTTTTGTATCCTCTCCCCAAACAAGAATTTCTTTTGTGCTATTCCCAATGGATTCAAATCGCTGAGTTATACAATGACTTTCACATTCCATATGGCCACAACTTTGACAATTGACCCATTCATTTCGCAACACATGTTTGCAACGCATGTTCTAACATGAGAATGTTCCCTGTTAATATTAACATTCCACATAAGTTCTGAAATATTTCCTAAAGAGGGAATTCCAGCTAGCACCGGCGCGCGCAAGTCAAGTTTGCTTTGCGCCAGACCGACGAACGCGCAGACCAATCAGGGATGGCCTTCACCCCTGGATTCAATCCCGTGTTCGCGTCGCGCTGCTAAAGCAACCCGGTTCAATCTCTTGCAACTCATTCCTCTTTTTCTCGCCCTCAAAGAGGATTTAATCCATCACAGCTTTTGAACTCACCACATTCAAATTGCTTTTTACTTCTCACCTCTCATATCAAACCCCTCTCTCTCATTATAAAATGTCATCTCAAACCGGGCGAATCGACAACCTGTCAGCTTCAATTGCTTCCCAAAGCAACCGTGCTCAGCCATATTCCTTGACCACTCCGAGGGGCAACAGTACGCTGCCCTTCTGCCCTTCTTTCTTTGATTCCGATGTTCATGTCACTTTATGTCGTTCCAATCTCCTTCAGGAACCCCACTTGTGGGCACCGCTGGTTCTGCCAATCGCGCCGAACAGCGAAGTCTCCAAGGTTCAGGCTCGCAAGCCTCGGTGGGAGGCTCGAATGACAGTGTAAGTGTCCAATCGCCTCCTTTTTCCTTTCATGTGCTAAATCAAATGCGAACTAAGCACCCAATTTGTGCGTCCAGACCAAGGACGGCGATGTTTCACGCATCATGGCTGCAATCACCAGTCTTTCTGGTAAGGTGGAAAAAGAAATGTTGGTGATGGCTGACACCTTGCGTCAAGAGATTGAGCACATGTCCAGCAAGCTCGATGAGGACATCGGTCAGTTGGCCAGGCAGGTGGACGAACAAATCGCTTCGGTCGCCGACAAGCACACCAAAGACTTCATCACCCTGTCCAACAAGCTGGACCAAGTGAATGAGTCTGTCGAAGACATCACACATCAAGGTGAAGGCCCAGGTTCTGCTGCCCGGCCTGCTGCCGCATCGAACGCCCCACCGGCGAAACACTGGTACTACTCACCTGAGCTTAAAGTACAACCAGAATCTTCCTGCGATCTGATATGTCTTGATCAGCAAAAGTCTTTCTCATTTGTTTTCCTCCCGTTCTTTCACATTCTGATCAGAGTCGGGTGTATACAGAGGCATACGCATCGGTTCCGTTACCCACGATCGGCGCATATACCAAACTTCACAATCCCAATGGGGACTTGTTGCCCAACTCGTTGTTTGCAACTATTAAGGTTAGATAGTCGACTGTTTTGGGTAGTCTGTTTATTGATTTTCCACCGCATTCACACTCCAGCGGGCAATCAAAGCTATCCCCGGCACCTGGCCTGCCGAACAACTTCCTCCAGTCGTAAATGGAGCCCAGAACGTTGCCGATGCCCAAACGTACGCGACCTTAGTTAAGGACGCTGGGAAGCACGCTCGAGAGCGTTTACATAAATTGGTAAGTGGTGGTACTCATTCATCCATTCATTCGAATAATTTTTTTTGACACATTTTTCTCATCACTTCTCCGGTGCTACGCAGCTGTTGCTCAACATCAAAAACAACCCTGGAAGCACGGTGCCCTGCATGAAACGTCTGGTCCATCGCGTAAGTCTTCGCTGCCATCTTGCGTGCATAACGTATGTTGCCTGAACCATGTTTTTTTTGGTCTGTATGTAGATCGCTCAAGATTGTGGAACCACCGCTGAGGGTCTAGGCGAAGAGGCCTATTGGATCAAATGCACTGATCAACACCGCCTCCGCATCGCGTACCTGGTGGGTTTGAAGGGTTTCCACTTTCTAGCAACCTGATGGCTGATTGGTTCATAAAATCCACCAGCGACGAGAAGCCCTACGCATCTTTCAAGAGCGTCGTCAAGGAGGAGCCGGAGGAAATATCTGGGCCAGGGTCGACCAACATCTGCACCATTTGGGTGTTCAAGGTACCTTATATAGTTCTGCGTAAGTCCTGCAAATGCTGATCACTACCGTTAGATTTAGATATACACTCATCATGACTATCCTCTTCAGATTTTACAAGTTGATTTACGATGAAGATCGCACGACCTTCAATGGCGAAGGGTACTTTACGGACATTGACGCTTCGGTAACATTCGATTTACCTTCAGAAGAGGACATCCACGAGATGATGGAACGTATTCAAGAAGCCGGAGGGTCTTTGGGGGACCTAGAGTGAATGGCCCACCTATTCAGAGTTTGGGACATCAAAGACGCCACTTTCTCTGTTCCTTCTTATGGTTTGGAGATCAAAGTTATAGGGATTGTTTGGCTATCTATTATACTCGGTTGTCTTCTTTCATTTGTAAACCTCCCTTGCGAAATGCACCGGCTTTCATGCCCAACTGTCAGCTGTCATGATTTCGAAAAGGGTCTTTGAGGCCACAATTTCCTTTTTGGGGCACTTTTTTTATATATCAATTTTTTTTTGGGGATTCCAGCCCCCCAAAATCACACTGCGAAATGGCCTGATGGCGCTTTTGGGGCCATTCAGGCCGCCCACAGTCCACAAGGAGACGCGCTAAGTGCGCCGAAATCCCAGTTACAAAACGCCTGACTCGACGACTCGATGTCGCCTCGGAGGCGACATCATTCTGACCAGCTAGTTACGGCCCTTCCCTGCGGAGGGAAGGCCAGCCCAAAGGCGGGCGAGGATGACCGGCGCAAGACGGTCAAGGTCCCCCCGTGGTGTAGCCGTAAGTCCCTTGCTCAAGCCTCGGGCCTTTGGCGCGAGGGACTTTGTTAAGTTTGGGTTTCCAACAAGAAGTAACGAACGCACATTAGATTTTTACGGTGTTCTCTCAAAAAATCGGGGAAATCTTTTTACGGTGCCGTGCTGTAAAATATCTCCCAATTTAAGACGGCAATTGGCGCCCAGCCGCCACACAGGCTTGAGGCATGCCAATTCCTCACATGTACACATGTCCTAGCGAATATTGTCAGAATCACAAACTGCATAACAGCATCTTTCAAACTTTGTGCTTCTATTGACCTTGAAGTTGGTCTTGATTTGTTGACTGAATCTATCAGATCAAGCAAACCAAGTGAATATAGTTGAATGATCTTCTTGAAATGATTTCATGGATTTGAGAAAATGTATGATGCCTTGAATTTGATGGACTGTGAGATGATTACATGCTTCACTTGATGAGCTGAGTGTGAGATGAAAGGCTAGTCCAATCAAAGAGCTGAGCCACACTGGTGTTGGCTGATGATGATGGTGTTGGAGCCTCAAGGGTGTTGAAGAGAAATGTTGCTGTGTACAAAGAGGATTTTACTGAGGAATTTACAATTATGTAAAGTAGTTTTTGATCTCCTTTCATGACCAGGATGGGATTTATCTTTTGGTGGCATGATTGCTATAATCACCAAAAAACACAACCAAACTTGCCCATAGATGAGAGAGATTGAAATGCAGATTGATTGTGTGACTGAAAATGTGAGATGAGGAACAGTGAGATGGCACAGGTGTATAGGTGGATAGAAAAAGTTGTTGAGACTTGTGACGTGTAATAGCATACCACAGGGACACTTGAATTGGTGGTAGCTCCCTGGGGGTAGACCAGAACACTTTTTTTATCAAATTACTTTCCTTGATTAAGGTCAGAAACACCCTAAATCTAGACCTGAGCCCAAACTTCAAAGATACTTTTTAACTTCTTGACCATTTCTCAAAGATCAAGTCTGAGTGGTAAAATTCATTTCCTTTGGATTCTATTTTTGTCCACATTGGACACTTCACCATGGTCCAAGTTTCTCAGCATCAACAACTGATTGAAGAAGTCACTCACCTCTACCAAACTTCCAAATTCCTAGCTAATAAACCCTTATGCAAAAACTTTTCCTTGGAGCTCCAATCAGCCCATCAATGGGTATCATGTTATATGAAGATGATCAAGATATGAGTCATTCACAATGGAGCAATTACATTGTTAGTGAAAGTAATTGCTTATAAGTGATTGTGAAACGTTGGTATGGATGATTGTTTATTTTGCAACATAAAAAGCACAAGCATAAAACCCATGTATATATAGAAATGAATGGTAGAGACAACGGTGGCACGGCTAAGTTAAGTTAGCGCTTAGAGAGTTTTATTGCTAAGCTAACACTAAATCCCTAGTGCACTCAACCTAAGCTAATCAAACTTTGATTTTTCCTTTGGCGGGTCTGCGCTAAGCTAAGCCGGGAGCTTAGGTATCAAAAAAAACATGTTTTAAGTGCAAAAAAGGGCCGCTAAGCCGCTATTAGCGGTTTAGCGGCCAATGAATTGGCTTAGCAGGTGTCATTTTACGCCCGTTAAGCCAATGGCTTAGCGTTAGCGGAAATCCACTAAGATTAGTGTTAGCGGATTTTTCCTTAGCAGCTTCTAGCTAAGCTAAGCCAAGGTGGCAAAAATCCTTAGCTTAGCTTAGCTTAGCAAGCCACCGTTTGTAGAGAAAAGAGAACACTGATAAACCAAAAAGCTTACCTATGAGTCATTCACAATAGGGCAATTATGTTGTTAGTAAAAGTAATTGCTTGTATGTGATTTAGAAACATTTGAATGGATAAAGATCAAAGTTAAACCTTGTAGACTTGTAGGCTGCTTATAATAAAAATGAGAACACTGCTAATAGTTAAGAGCACACATAGAATAGAGATCAATGTATAACAACATATCAAATGAGAACATGACAACAAATCATGATACCAAAAACAATAAGATCACACTACATAATGTCATTGAACAGACAGCTTTATTGGCCAACACCAACATCCCCCCTCACTTGTGCAGTCCACAACAGAAGTCTGAGCACAACATGAATCAAAAGCATTGGTTTATCATTGAACAATTGTATAGCATGGTCAATGGAAGAAATGGAAATGGCAGAGACAGGAAGATGAAGGTTCACAGAAAGTAGTTTGAACCAAATGGCCTGACTTGTGCAGTTCAATAGAGACATATACTCAGCCTCTGTAGTTGACTGGGCATTTGATTTTTGTCAATGGCTGTGCCAAGAGATGATAGCACCTCCAGTAGTGACAGATAGCCAGTTACCAAGTGACAATTATTGAGATCATATGAATAATCATCATCATCAAAGTCTTTCAAGTCAGTAGGCGTAGAACTATCAAATAGAATGCCCTAAGATAGAGAGCCCTTTATAAAATATATAGCAAACAAGGTGCTTTGCTGTGTTCCAATGCTTGAAGGTGTAACATAAGTTGTATTGAGAAATTTGACTGAAAAAAAGCAGCATCCAGACACTGACAGCAGCCCAATTGAGAGAGCCAATGTGAGATTGGTAAGGAAGAGACAAAGCTGGCCTAATGTCCTTGGGAGAGCCAAGGTGCAACTTCAAACCAACTCGCAAAGGAACTTTCACTGTGTTCAGTTTGACCATGCCAATCCATTCTCTACTGCACAAGATCAGAGGGTGGACCATAAAGGTTTATTCTTTCATTGCAAGTGTTGTAGATTGAATGAATCTAAACTCATAATTGGTGTGCCCTAGGTAAACCACAACTTCTTGTCTAGAGAGAGGCATAGGTTTCTTGGGGAGGCCCTCTGCTCAAAAGGGCCAGGGGGGGTAGGAATACCAGCAACAGTAGATGGGGAGCTCTGCACAATGGGCTAGGCATCTCCTACAACATTTAATATATACATCTGGACCACACATTTTAGCACATAAGCTCAACTTCATACAGACACCATTAGAACTTTGGGATCTATCACAAGGTTGAGCCACATAAGCCTAATGTGATTTTACTTGTTGGGTGATCTACAACAAGTGTAAAAGAGTCATCACAGTACATAAGCAACCTGATTCCCGTGGTATCATCTTGACACCATATGGTAATCTTGGAACCAATCTATTAGGTGATCATGTTGTGAGTGAAGATTTGGTCTTAAAGATGTTTGATCATAATTGTGGTAGCATACAAAACAGAATGAACAATATTAGAAATGCAGCCTGATATAGTGTGTAATGAGATTGTGAGCAGCAGGCAACACCATGTCAATATCCTTGTAGCATGTCGACGTGCACACACGGAGAGTTTCAAAATAAATTTGAAAGTCTTTTGGTCAGAATTCGACTGAGATTGTTCTTGAGAACCCTTTGTGAACAATGATTTAGTCATGGTAGTCACAGAATCTTTTGTCATCAGCTGGGGTCAACTGACTGCCAACATCCCAGTTTATAAAGGGAAGATGTGTCTGTTGTGAAACTTCTTCAATAGGTCTGTCAAGTGTCTAAGGAAACTAATTTGTGTGCGCACGTCGACGTGCTACAAGGATACAAACACGGTGCAAGTAGCTGGGCAAGTAGCAAATTTGTGATGGAGATGTTGCAATCCGGATTTGAGATGAGATGTTGAGTATGTAGAGGTGTGTGTACAGAATTTATTGGGTAGTTGTATATGTTTTAGAGGGTTGGCGGACCCCACACTCAGGGTTTCCTTGATGCACAGATACATACAATCATGAGGAAGTCAATCAGTTTTAGTAAGTTTTTGAAAGTTTCTGATTCAGAAGGATGATCACAAAGATTATTATATGAATTTCTATATTTCACCATGGAATGAGCGTGGCATATTGTAATAATGTACCACTACACAGAGTGGTTCCAATACATATATTGTGAGAGGCTATTTAAATCATGGCACAAATTCAATGGAAAGGCTATGATGACATTAGGGATGTGGGTTAAAGGCGAGACCAAAAAATATCGAGCTCTCGGTTCAGTGCAAGAAGCTAGGCTGATAAAGCTTAATGTTTGACACTTTTAAGTGTACTTGGTGTCCTTCCGATAAGCTGTTGGGGAAGCAATTCTAAGCTTTCGTAAATTCTCACCGGAAGCTTGGAGATCAACCTAGGATCTTTTGGTGGTTGAGGTGGTGCCGTTGGTCTAGTCTTGGCGCGCCTTGGTATTCCTGTGTTGATATTTGCAACTGTTAGGACTGGATCAGAAGAGAGAAAATTGTTGATAGGCTCACCTAATTTATCGAACTTGAAAGGAAGTCTTGCGCGAGGAGATGTTCCGAGCTTGGTGCTACCTCTAGAATTGAACCTCGAGATACCTGGGGAGCGACTATCGCGGGTGAAGAAGAATTGGCCGTCTCGAAACTTATCCCGTGCTGGATTTGGGTTTTCAGATTATTATCACGGAGAGTCGTGTAAGCATTTCCGATCAAGATACCAGTAAATTTCACGAGAAAGAGGCTCAGCCGATTATCATACCTCTCTGACACTTCTGCATAACAGCCCGACTCAAAGTCTGATCAGGTTTTGTTAGCGAGCAAGTCTGACGCTGCCAATCTGAATGGTATTGAAAACCTCGATTCATGTCTGTGTTGAGACGTCAAGTATAAGCGCAGGCCCAGATATCATGGTAAGCATAAGGGTGATAACTGGGATAATATACGGGGCCGGATGTGGCTAAACTCAACCTTGGCAAAAAGTATCATGGTCCCAAGGCTTGATAGTGACCTTCGCTTCACTCGGTGATTTTTGGAGATGAGATCGACGCGACTGTGTCCTTCTGAGAGTAAGCAAGCCAAATAAAGCTGCAATGAGCATAAAGATCCCAATCAGTAGAGCGATGAGCACCGCTATGAGAATCGTCTCCTTTGGCGGATCTTCCTGGATCCTTCTTGGTTTTTCGCAGTTGAAAGCGTCAGAATGGTTATGCTGTCCTTCTCTTAGTGATTGAGACATGAATGCTCACGAAGAATTCCCCAACTGTGTGGACGCAGGAGGTAAAGCCACAGAGGTCGCGGCTGTCGGAAAGGTTGTGACCGCGCTGAGAGGGGATGGAGTAGTGGAATAGGAAGAGTTCGGTCCCATTTGTGCGACGTCCATCGAGTTTGAGTTCTCAGCTTGCGTGAGATTGGAGGTCAAGGACTCGCTGGTCAGAATGTAGACTGGAGTTTGATTCGCAGTGTTGGAAGAGGATTGTAATCCGATGGTTCCGTTGATTGTATCAATAGGTAAAGAATCGACGAGACAATAATAAGACAAGGAAAAAAGAGACAAGTTGAAAATCTTTGGATAGAAGCTCTGCATCCTCCAGATAAGCCTGCTTTGAAAGAAAAAGGAAAGGTTCCAATAGTATTTTCACTTGAACTGCATCAACTGTTATGGAATATTTTTCGATTGGACTTCAACAAAAATGGATGAAAAATTGCTAAGAATAAGAAAGTGTCGTTGGTGATTAACTACGGAAGCGCTCATAGGATGAGTGAATCCAAAGGTTTAAAAGCTAAACAGAGATTGTCAGTACAAAAGTGGGATGAAAGGGAAGTAGGACTACATCGATAAAAGGCTCTTTTTCACCGTCATACGCTCAAGCGATTGTGCGCGTGTGGGTTGAACCCCTTATGACCCTATGCTTGAAAGGGGGATTCGAAGTCACCCCAATCATGGCAAGTAGACTAACGTATCAGGCTCTAGACAAGAATTCCATCTCAGCCTGTTTGGATGTGCACAAGGCAACCCGAGCTCTCCATGGACCCATTTCGGACTTGGCCTCGGTTTGAGATGTATGTAGTTTCCTGATGAGTCAACCGGAATCATACTCTGCGCCTGGTATGGTTGAGTGTTGTTTGTACTGACTTCATCGAAAGATAGGTGGCAAGTGTTGCTTAGGTGAGTTGTGAGAAGCTGAGCAGCGTCGATTCGACCAAGTTCGATGTTGACGAATGTGAAGCTTTGAATAGTTTCTTGTGTATTTACACTAGAGTCGGCTGGTATAAGATTTTCTTGACCGTGACATACTATGATACACATAACAATTTGGCAGTGCTTTTCGTTATAAGACGTTCCTCCCCCAGGAAAACCCCTTGAAAGGGAATGTGAGGAAGGATCGGAGGATCATCATTTGTTCCACATGTGTTAATCCACGACCCCGGGACATCCAACTCTTCCAAGAACTTCCACTCACCGTCCTTGATCAATCAGGAGCGTAAGTGATCTATGTATACACAGTTACTTTGAAGTCTCGAACTCTCGTATCAGTTTTCATCACCTCATCAAACTAAAGACATCCTGAGGCCACGAGATTTTGAGAATATTACGGGATAACAAGATCAGTGACATAGTCTCGTTGTCCATGGCGGTTCACGCTTGAAATGTTTACAATCGAACGTTCCTGTGCTCAGCTCCGTTGCAATAGCTGTAGCGAATGTACCAATGACATGCGGCGAACGCGCTTGTAAGGGGATCAGTGAAGCTTATGTGAACATATGGTTTTGCATTCCCAATTTCCTATATGATGTACGTATTCAGTTTCAATCCTTTTTCTCGAACAAATGACTCTAGTTGGTCTTCCTCTCCCAGTTTGTTGTATCTTGTATTATCAACCTTTGAGCTTATTCATCACAATCTCATTCTCTAAAATTTTGCTTATCCCTATGCGGTCCCCTAAGCATTTGAGTCAATCTGAACAAAAAATTATCAGGAGAGTCTGGATTAAGCCATAGTTGAAGACTGTCAGAAAAACATATCAATTTGTACAATCAGAGTAATGATCTATGGCTTCCTGGACGAAAGGAGGAAGACAAAGGTGAACAACTCAAAACGAGGTGAGGTAGAAGACACAAGACAAAAGACTCTGCGGGATTACTATCAGACAGGATTTATCCAGGAATGAGAAAAATCAATGTTATTACGTTGGTGCCATACAATTTACAGCATGGAGTTCGGTAATGACTTTCAAGCTGAAGAAAAGATAGATACATAAGCAAATTTACAATTCATCTCATTCAGATTGTTCCGCCAGCCCAAGTAGGGAGAGGTAAAGTATCCAAAGCTTTGTGCTCTCCGTCGATCGAGTTCGGACCAACGAACGATTGAGGAACGAAGTCATTGTACCCGAGCGTTGGCAGGGATGGAGAGGATCCGAATCTGGGGGTCCATTGCGGTGCTTCCCACGGTGCTGGTACATTGAATCCTGCTCCTGGGAATTGAAACAAGGAAGCATCGAGCTGGGGCGCGGCGAAATTCAAGAACTCAAGTGTGACCGGTAAAGTATCAGGAACGTAGACAGCACCACTTCCATCAGCGCTAAGTGATGGGAGCTCGGGTGCAGTCGAACTCATCGGCGGGGGTGCAGTCGAACTCATTGGCGGGGGTTCATTCATAGCGCAAGATGTTTGTGCAATTCCAGTACCTGAAGAAGAACAAGGTGAAAGCGACGAAGTTTCACCCGCTGCTTGCTGAATTGCTGAACTCCAGAGAGTCGAACCCGGGTTGAGTGTTTCTTCATCACAGCACTTCAGCAAGTGCTCCAACGAGGCGTGCAATTTTTCAGCTTGGAACGTCCTATCATTTGTGCGAGTGTTGAAGTGGCGATAGGGTAGATCAAAGGTCAACTACTGTGGCACACCATACAAGCTAAGTAGCACTAACGTAGGTGCCAATGCGGCCAGGATATTCACGCATCGGTAGGCATCCGCATAGGATTCTACTCGATCAGAGGCTGTCATAAACTCGTGTCGAGTAGAAACGGCAAAGATGAATGTAAGGGCCGCCGGAGTGATCTAGAAGATGAAGTACGCGATGGATATATATATGTAATGGATATATATATGTAAGTGTGAATGTGATCTATTTCGAGCAACGCATTTTTGAATACGACGCACTGACCACGTAAGGTGTCCAGGTAGCGCTGAGCTCGAGGAAGCCTCGGCTGTTGAGGTGGTCGATCACATTAATCATCATCTTAGATGCGACCAGACATGCCTTGAGCTCTTGCTGAGGATGAGTAGCAATCAAGTGTCGATGAACAACAATTTTCAAGTATGCAAGAAGACTGTTGGGCAAATGAGACAATTCGAAGCTCAACGATCATCTCAATTGAAGAATAGTTCATGGAGACTACCCACCATTCAAACCGGGATGTGGTCACCAAGTCTACCTCGTCGGATGTTTCGGGGTCCCATTTAGCGTCATGAGGTATCTCGCGATGGACATACATGTCAACAGATTGAGCAATCTCCTGCACAAAAGACCGGTCCCAGTCACACGCCTTGCTTCCCGGGATAATCTTGAGTGCTAAGAGTGTATGCAGCGAGCGAGAAAATTGGTAATGTAGATGATAAAAAGCCAGGTTGGCCTTGTTGGCGCGAGTTGTGAGGTAGAGGATTTGATTGTTCTGAGAAATTTCTTGCACTGATTGCGGTGCCTGTCCAGCATATTCTTCACAAAACCGACTCAAACGCTCATCATCGACTATGAGGGGGTTAGCTAAATATCGTGAATGGCACGTCAATATTATATCTTCCTGAACCTGACATCGACAGGCTGACGACCTACCGACGGTGACTGGTGAATGGTTCATCATGGTGGCTCGACCAAGCGATGTGGAAAGCTGTATTTCCCGAAACTGGAGGAACCAAAAAGCTCGTTTTCTGAGTTGATCTTTCATTATCGACGTCTCCCATCGCGGGGTGCCAGCGAGGTGGGCACCCACATCTTGCGCTTTGAATCAAGATAATCAATGTCAAAAAACTGTTCAGAACCTTGCCGAGATCACCGAGATGTCGCAGGACAAACCTCTTCTCAAGAAAACTCCGGTCGAAAACCATGCCGTCATCGGGCTACTCGTGCCAATCAAAAAATACGATAGCACAGCCATCGCCTGTAAATCAAACAGGGTGGATGGGAGGGTGTAAGGTGTGAGAAGTGAATTACTGGCGGCGGCATAGACGGCCCCTGCGGCTTGCCTGTCTACTTTCATGTCATCGAGTGGTGGGGCGACACGGAAGTCGGACGAAAACCGAGACGCCGCAGCGAAGATCGCATAACAAAGCGCACGGAATGCGTGATCAGTTTGAACAAGACCAGTGTTGTAAACGCGCATGAATTCTCCCTTGTGAAGGATGTATTCATATGGATGAACTTTTTCAAAGTAAAGGTCGATAAGTGATTCGGCAAGGTCGGGAGGAGGATAATAGTATTCGTTTGGTACGCTGCGGTAATGGTGAAGTTCGATGGTACGCTCAACGATTGAACGATTCCCATTCGCCATGTAGTATGCCAGATCTGGCTCGCCAGAGCCATCAGGTTTTTCCCATCGACCGGGCGCACTACGAACAGGGACATCTCCAGATTTATAATCTTCCAAGTAATCTGTCGGCGTGATGCGTAATTGAGCAATCGATTGAAAGACTTTATCGAGATCGCAGAGTGCGTTAGATTCAGTCTGAGGCGTAGTCGAGTCTAGCACCCTCTTCACCGGGGCGTGACTAGAGCTTGCAAGTTTTGAGGAGTCCAATGTAGGCTGAAGATGTTCATGCGTAAGCGTAAGTGAATTCAAATCGATGTTCGGTACCAAAGCCTTGAGAACTTTTTCAAGACTACGGATTCTGGTATTCATTCGATAAACCTCACTATCCGCACGCAGATTGGTTGGGACGTCGCATTACTTGATTAGGCTGAACGATCTGCTCATCCGGCTGAAAAAAGAGAGATACGGACCGCTTGGTAGGAGGTCTTTCGCGCTTAACGCCAATAGCTTCGAAGGTGCATGGACGAGATGCATGTCTGCAAGTTTCGCAAGGGATAGAATGCAGCACGATACACTTTGTCTGTTCGCATTTGTTCAGGAAAATGGAACCAACATCAGGTAACGAAAGATTTTGCAGAGAGAGATAATGCAAGACATCACCTTCATCTTCTTACAGCCATCGCAGGCACGAGGAACACGGTGTCTTACGCGCTTGATCTCCTTGCCCTCAGGGTCCATGTCAGCACAGGGGGTCCAGTCGGCAAGAGTGGAATGGTTGGAGGAAGCAAGATCAAGTCGGTTGTTGTCCATTATCAATATATCATTGGGAGGGGTGCGGAGCTCGGACCGCGGGTTAGGCTTTAAGGTCAATGGAGATCAAAACAGGATAAATGAAATAAATGAAAGCTGACCTCTGTTACATACATTTATAAGTCTATCTACAACTATCTACAATCAACCCATGCCGTGGTGCCGAAGCTGCCGGAGGGCCAGGCTGCGGTTAGATTCAACTGTGTTTGTGTCTGCGTGTTACCGAACAATTCTCCTACACTTGTCAGATTCATATTGTATAACAGTGTATACAAATATGGTGGTCAAACTTCGAGAAGAAATTATGCAAGTTCTGTGCAAGTTCTGTGCAACTTCTTGTAACATCTTGCACGGAACTTGCACCAAATCTGCATACTTAAGACTTACATATGCTGACTTAACAAAGCCTCGTTGCTGAGGCCACCAAACTTATTTCAGTTTCCGTTTCCCAGAGGAGCATCAGTTGTACAGCCATGCCTGAATCACCCCCACCCCCTGCAAGTCAATCCTACTTAACTCCCATACACCTCGATCCAAACCTTCAAGTCCTATCGCCCCACGTTTCTGATTCAAGCACCACCACCCCCCTGCAGATCATATCGCCGGTCAACTGGGGTCAAAGCCCAAGTCAAATCACTGGGCAAGCTCTTCAGCTCGCAATCATCCCACCTTCAGTGAATGCTACTAGCTGGAATTTATCACGATCTAATAGTCTCACCCAACAATTTCCGATCAGTAACTCACCTTTGATCACTATGGCTCCGGTTACTCCGGGTACTTCGACTCAAAAAGAGCCCAGTTCAGATGCACCAAAGAAAAAACGTAAATACACAAGGAGGAAGACCTCAGATTCAACAACAAGGTCAGAGACCAAAAAAAAAACCCCTCAAGAATCAAATGAAGAAAAGAAAAACACTTCATGGAGAACTGAACTTAATTCTGAGGGGAAAAGCGCTATTGTTCTAATAATCGAGTGGTTGGGAACCGCAACTACGACTGGTACACGATATGATTGGTGGAAGGGAGAGATGGATATGGATACGCGAACAATTTACAGCAAAAAGGATGTTGGGGAAAAAGTTGCTGAGTACTTGGCCGAACAAGGTTTACCAGGTCGAGATGGGAAAGGTGTAGAGACACAGGTCAGTATTTGCACATCCTCTTGACTTTGAAGGTGCTGACTAAAGTATGCATCTGTGAATTTAATTTAGATCTGAACCCTTCAATCGACTTTCACCATTGCTCAAGACTTCCGAAGTGGAACTGGGCAAGGTATTTTGGAAGACTTAGAACAACAAGCACGACTTGAAAAAACCGAGATGGGGTACTTATCTGATAGTGATGAATGGAAGGCAATAGAGCATTCAACCAAATCAAAGTTTGACCGTATGTGCCTTTACCTCCATGGCTGATCATACTTTGAAAGGTCAAATGCTTATGTACAATTGTGTATCACTCTCATTTAGAGCTTTTGTTCCAACGATGCGTCTACTACTACAATCTCTTACCTTTTATGTCAACTCGCACTAATGTGATACCCCAGTCCGTACGTGAAAGTGGGGATGTTTTAGATGAAGATAGTGTTCTTCCTCTTCCCTCTACCAAGCGCACATGTAGCCACTCTCCAGATAGCAATATATCGTCATTACACGAAACCCGAGATTTTGATATAAGTCCTTTGGAAAACAATGGCGAGCTTACCCAAGATTTAGACTTCACCATCTCGTCCAACGGTCCTGATATTATTTCAATGTCCCAAGCCCGAAGATCTTCACCATCTCCAGACAAGTCAAGCAAAGGTGTAAGCGCTCACCGCCCACCTGGACAACCTGCCAAACGACCCAGATCAGCTCAAATCGATAACAATCAAGGTTTGAGGTCGACCTCTAGCTCAGCATCGGATGTACACAATCTCTTATCTTCTCAACTACCCTCACGTGAAGAAAAATCTGAGAGAATCAAGCTTGAGAAGGATCGATGGTTATCTGAAGAGAAGTACATGAAGGCTGAGCAAGATGCACGACAGGAAGAGCTTAAGACTCAGGCCAAACTGGCGGATGCACTATCCCGTCACCTTTCCGGAGGAGACGATGCTTTGAAGGATTCCGAACGCACCGAACGTGCTCAAATCAAACTTGAGCAAGACCGAGTTGAACTCGATCTTGCAAAATCTCAGTTGGCTCGCAGCCGTGAAGATCTCATTACAGCTAGGAGCGAACGCAAGTTGGCTATGTTAGCAAAGTATAAGGCACTTGGTTTGTCAATGGAGGAAGCTAAAAAAGAAGTTGAAGAGCAAGAAGAACAACTTCATAGTAAGTGTTCTACCCTCATATATTTGCATTATCAAATCAAAACGATTTTGGGCAACACTGACATGCGTGATTGCTGTGATAGGGGAACTGGAGGGATAATACCCAGGGAGTTTGTTAAAAGCCTCTTTAGGCAATTTGTTATTTGTTTCAACCTCATGTGAACGATTTCCCAGTTTGATTCTTTTAAAACTTGAAATCAATTGTTGTTTCCTTTTTGTATTCTTTCCTTTGCAGTGTGCTTTACAAACTAAAATCCAAAAAAAAAACTTTGGAATCAGCTGTCTAGTTGTCTCGATAATAAGCAATCGATTTCATTATTTTAATTCTAGCTCTCATTTGCTTATTACGCACAAGCGCTTTAACGAGCAGCAAACAAGAAAAAGGATATTTTCAAATTGCTACTACCTAATAACATCCTAAGCAGATAAACAAACAAAGAGTGTAAAAAGTTTACAACGATTCACAAAAAAGGCGGAATACACACATTCTTGTGTCTTCATCATCGTCTTCTCGGATCTCATTCAAAATGAACTCGTCTTCGGGATCCACAGGAGTAGTGATATCATAATGAAAAGCACATCCCTCATTCTGATCCAACAGGAAGTTGTGCAGGATACAACACGCTGAGATCCAAGCATTCAAACGGGCTACACACTTCTTGTCCTTTAAGAGTAATCGTAGGTCTTTCAGAGATTGCCATCGAGATTTCAGCATTCCATTACAATGTTTGATTGCGACACGTAATTCACTCAAGAGTTTGTTGAATAACATCTTCTCGCGGGTCAGAGGAAGACCTCCCACTCTTTTGAAAGCTGGAATGATGAACGAGTTGGAGCTGTACCCAGAATCCGCCAGAAGATACTCTCCTTCTGAAAAAAAATTGTTTGGGTCCGACCACAACTTGACATCCAAATTCAAACATTGTAAGTGTTTTGAATGAATACCATACACCAGAAATACAAAAATAACAAACTTACTGAAGATGTACGCATGACTCGCTGGTCATGCACACTGCCACACCACCCATGCCGAGCAAACGTGATCCTACGATCATGCGTGCATACAAGCATGGAGTTGACTGCATAAAAAAACTTCCGAGTCCAATAATCCTCTTTGCACTTCGGAGGACCAAAAGCAAGCGGTATCAAGGTACCGTCAACAAAACCTACACAACCTTTGAAAGGACCGTTTTTGCCCACATTTTGTCGAATCTTTGCTCGCTCCGTGGGGGTTGGCCAGGACAAATATTCTCTCTCCAATCGGACAATCGCAACCACACATCTCCATGTGTAATTTTCAACGCTCCCTTCTGAAAGCATCAAGTCAGTGAAAGTAACTAATTAAATAGCTTCAACCATGTCATTTTTGAAACTCACTTGAAATGCCAAATATATGGGCGAGAACATTCAGACCACCCCCATTTCCAGAAAGGCCAAGATTGGCCAGAGTCACAATCAGTTGCAGCTCGATTGGGGCCTGCGGACAGTTTGATTGATTCTCGAATAAGTCAGACGATGCGATTTTGTTCAGTAATGTTAAGAAGCTAGACCGATTCATTCGAGCCTAGATATGCAAGTGAAACCAACAATTAGCTTGTAGACAACTTGAAAATTCATATCTGGATAAGCAAACATACAAGGGTTAAAAAGGTTGTATCGTGTGATCCCCAAAATCTGTTGAACATCGTTAGACATGCTTGAGGTTCGCGACGCCTGGATTCGAAGTATCGCTTTCGCTCGATCATGTCAATTGCGAGTGACCATAATCCCGGATTATCGAATAAAGCCAGTGGGTGTTGTTCAGCTTGGCGCGCCGATGATTGGAGCAAACGCTTCGGTCGTCGTTGAAATAGCATCCAGAGAGCCACACAAACATATGGTTCCAGATTGAACACCGATTGAAGTTGAGGAATCTGTAGTAGCTGGAAGAAGGCGGAGAAACCTGAACTTGAGCTGCGGAAACCCTTTTGCTTTCGCGTTAAAACAAGACTGTGAGAGGTATAAGGGTAGTCTAGATTGGCGAGTCGCTTGAACATTCGAATCACTTGTCTTCTGGATGAGACACGTGGCATGATGAGTGAAGTTTGGGTAATTACGGTGGGGTTGTGAAAAACATACTTGTGCAAGATCGGTGCAAGAAATCTTGCACGGATCTTGCGCGGATCTTGCACGTCGGTCTTGCAAATTTCTTGCACAGGTTTGACCACCATAAAACCCACGCATCGCCACCGCTACAAGGTAAAACTGCCTTAATTGGGGAGGGTATCTCAGCCTGTCAATCTTTACCTTTACCTGTGGGAGAAAAAGACCGTGGCCGCCACCCATGGCATGCATTCTGCATTCCCGCGCCCCAGTTAGGGTACGCATCACGCTCACACCCCGCGGTAGACCGGAGAAGCGGGGGGAAGCCTGGGACTCGGCTGGGACTCTGGGACAGACCTCTCATACACCATGATGGTATGCGAATATAGCACGACCCGTGTATGTAAATCCTGACTTACTGTTAGCCTACCAAAAACCTTTTGGCCATTAATGCCAGTAATATCCGGCGTGTGTTAAGTGGTGGTATGTGGATATGTCCACGCCGGTGAACCGTGACGCCGCGGGGCGACTTTGAACTGGGACCACGTGAAATGTAAGTTGGGTATGACCACGCTGAGTGGTTGTGTAGAACAGGTGGCAGCAGTGTGACCGCGGCTACGTCGCCCTCACCCAAGCTTGTCACCTGTTCTACACATGGGCTCGCTGTGAGCAGCGAGCTCACGTTCTGCTAATGTGATGTACCATCCTAGCAGCGGGTGAGCTGATGCATGTGAGCGTGGCCTGAAAGCCAGGTGCTTAGCACCCAAATGAGCTTGGATGCCAGTATGAGCTGGGATGTGTCAGTACAACCTGCCATCCACACACTCAGCTTGGATAAACAGCATCCAATGTTTTCCGGAGGAGGCACGAGGTAGGTGGGCAGTGTCCACGTCTACGCGTAATGTATTTTGAAAGTATTTCGAAATATAATCTAATTTATTCAATTTAGTCCAGTCCAAAAAATGGTCACTCGCAGAAAATCTAACCAGTTTAGATAATTCATCAGGGTCCAATCTAGTTTACCTATATCTGATGAAAAGATACCTACGGTAACAAAAGTAACCTTGTTACAACTAAATGAATATTAAGAGATTATATAAGATGAAAGCATTCTGAGGAAATATCTTTTTGTTTTCCTCTATCCGCTTATTACTTTCAAACTCATCATCCTGAAATTTATCGCTATAAAATATCTATCAAAAATTATCAGATTTTATTTATCCTCAATTGTTTTTGACTAGATTATCTTTCAATTCCAAATATATATAAAATATATATATATAATTTTCTAATCGTTTTACACAATCACCGAATTGAAAATGTCAGCAAGCTTAATTTCAGATGTAACGGCTACTCTCAGTAGTATAACACCAGTCTCAACGAATGAAGCCATTTCTCAGCAAACTGAAGCGCCAGCCGAAACGTCAGAAAGTAATACGACTCAGCACTCTTCAGGAGAAGGACGACCAAGCGGATCACAAGGGACGCCTAACCAGGGAGCCTTCGGGAGATACAACAAACAGATGTTGATATCGAATTACCTCAATAGAGGAAAAGGTGGGCAATGTTTTGCTAAATACCATAATACAAGAAAAATTTTACTCGTGTCTTGTCAGACAATGATTATTCTTGAATAACAAAACTAATAAAGATGTGTTGTACCATCGAATTTCGGCACAGGACCCGTCCATACAAGCCAAACATCGTCAGACGCAAACGGAAACAAAGAGACGGTCGATGACAGTAAGTCTATCACATAAAACTCTAGTACAGAGTAATAACGACAATAACATTCCCGTTCATTATTTGTTTTTTAGCAAACCCTTCTGCAGGTCAAAACGGTTTAGACACACTCGACCTGAACGCCGGTTACAAGCAAGTCCCAGCGACGAAGGAGGCAGCATCTAACTCTCAACAGTTAGAAGCAGAATTCAGAAATATGTTTGGAACTTCCGAGAAGTTACCAAAGATACAAAAGAAAACGCCTGCTACAACAAAGTCCCAAACGATGGAAGAGTCAGAATTCACGAAAGCCGTCAACCTGCTAAATGATATCCGCAACGGAAAGCAACCTTCCTCAAGGATAAAAGAAATCATTGATCTAACAGACAGAGAAGATACCCCCGTCCCACTAATCAATAAAACTTCAAGCTTCACCAAAAGTTTTAATCTCCCCGAAGCATCCTTTTCAGAAGGAGGACTCCAATTCGATTTCAGCATCACACCAGACGCAAATGCACAATCTTTACCTCTATTTTTTCAAAAAAACATGCAGCTTTTACAAGGTCAACTCCCATTAACCATTTTCAATAGAGCTTGGCAGCAAACTGCGAGTGATAATCATGTAGATTACAAGAAAACAGAGAAGGAAGTAGAAAAGTATCGTGGACACCCATTTCCGGGAGAATGGACTCAATCAAGATTCGAATGGGGTGAGAACATGGAAAACTTCATTACCATGTTAAGGGACGACTACAAATTCTGTGGATTTGCTGATGCAATGGAAGTACATAGGAAGAACGTAATCAAGATATTCAAACAACAACGATCTTGGGTCATCGCGTTCAAATACGATTTGACGATCAGGAAAGTGGTATTCGCAGTAAGAAACCCTGATCAAAAAGTACCAAATCCAGCACTAGAACCAGAAGGCTTAGTGAATGAAATATTCTATAACGCAAGAGCGCAAGATGATTTAAACACAGAAGATAACCCTTACCGGAAAGGAGGACCTAAAGCTGGCAAAAATCCTTATTCCGACATCTTGACAGAATTCCCAACGACATCACCATCGCAAACCAGAAATTTCACAGGCCCTTCCAGAAATTACTTCGACAGGAAAGATAAGCCACAATTTAAAAGCAGCGGACCTTACGGGAATTATAAAGGGAGAAATTTCGATCCCAATCATAGGAAGGTAGCTGAGGTACAGAAAGGGAAAGGAAAAGAAAAAGAGATGTAGGTTACGCTCTTTGCTATGAAGTTGATTCACTACACGTTTTAAACGTTATGTTCTTTTCATGTTTTTTCTTATCTTGCATACTACCATTTCAATCATGTTTACGCTACGAGATTCTCTTTATTGTGAATATTATAAACTTATTTATTGTTTTTTCTTTTTGTTCTTGTTATTGCAATTGTGAAAATTATTTGAAATAAAATAAAATTTGATCCCCTACTTCTCCTGAAAGCCATGACAAAACGTTCTTATTATCATCGGACACAGAGACAGATTTGTCAGATTCTTGCCAACTAATTTCACCGATAAAAGAAACAGAAGAAGACCTAATGGACCTGACTGACAAGTGGCCAGGACCGGTCAATTGCGAGATGAACATTGGTAAATGGGAAGAAGCCTTACGAAATGCAGATTTATTTGAAGAGTATAAAGACATCCTGTTAGGCTTCAAATTCGGTTTCGACCAAGGAATACCGCACCATTTCCTTATAGATTGCAAATGGTACACACCACCCAATCATTCATCATCAGAATTAGCAAAAGATAAAATAAAGAAGAATATGGGAAAAGAAAAATTAGCAAGAAGAATTTTCGGTCCTTTCACACGTCAAGAAGTATTCGAGCGAGTGGGATTTTTTAGGACAAACCCAATGGGAGCCGTAGTCAACGGCGACGGTTCTATAAGAGCCATTAACGACTTATCTTTTCCAAGAAATAATCCGGATATTCCTTCGGTAAACTCTTTCGTAGAAGCCGACGACTTCAAAACTACTTGGGATGACTTTGCTAAGGTATCAAGATTCTTCCGTAACTCCAAGAACCCACTCCTCTTGGCGCTTTTTGATTGGGAGAAGGCATATCGCCAAATCCCAACTAGACCAGAACAACAACCTTACATGATGGTTTTAGATGGAGATGATATGGTATGGTGGGACACACGGATCGGTTTCGGAGGCGTGGCAGGGTGCGGGTCCTTTGGTAGACCGGCAGATGCTTGGAAGAACATCATGAAACACGAATTCGATGTGGTCGAAATTTTTAGGTGGGTTGATGACGCATTATTCATAAAGAATGTTAGCTCAAATTTAGAAATGAAGGACGTAATTGATAGAAGCCTACAATTAGGAGTGATAACAAATGAAGAAAAGATGCAGAATTTTAAAGAAGAACAAAAATTTATTGGATTCATTTGAAATGCAGTAACGAAGACGGTACGCCTACCAGAGGAGAAGTTGAACCAACAAAAATCACAAATTGTAGACGCATTAGAACCACATAAAAGATTCTCGTTTAATGAAGTCGAAGTATTGACAGGAAGGCTAGTACACGTCACATTAATGCTCCCACAACTTAAATGTTACATGACAGGATTGTATAGGTGGAAAAAGAGCTGGGTGTATAAACATGCGACCCAATTGATCCCAGATGATGTTAAGATGGATTTGTTACATTGGAAAGTGGTTTTATCGAATTTTGAACACACTAGGTTGATTAGATTCGAAAACCCAGTAGATATAGGATGGGTGGGCGACGCCTCACCATCGTATGGAATAGGCGTATTGATAGGCAAAGAGTGGTTCCAGGTGAAGTTAAAAACTGGATGGCAATGTTCAGGAGAATCCAGCAGAGGTATTGCGTGGTTAGAGACAGCAGCAATAAGGATTGGACTATGGCATATAGTTTCGAAGGGAAACTATAAAGGTAAAACTTTAATTGTGTGGACAGATAACACAACAAGCCAAAACGCGATAACAAATAGGAGGTCAAATGATCTGGAAGTAAACAGAGAATGGAGGAAAATTCAACAAATTTTGATCTCTTGTCAAATGGATCTGGTAGCAAAACGAGTAATTTCCAAGAAGAACGACGCGGATGATATATCCAGGGGAGAAGGTGATGATCATGATAAAAATGAATCAGATCGTGTATGGGTTTCATTGCCTACAGATCTAGTTGATTGTTTCACACAGAACGATGTAGATGGGGAAGAGTGAGAAGCACTTAGAAACCAGTTCCCAGGGTTGGTTCATTCATAGAACCCTAGTAAGGGTGCCCTAACGATTTTTCATTCATGCATATGAGAATTTGTTTCATCTTTGCAAAGTGTATATAATATTCAAAGTATTAAATTGTATATAATGTATAATACTGTTGACAAGTAAGTTGTAAGATACTGTTGATAAATAAATTTCAGAGACAATTTTGAAATGTTAGTCAACAAAGAAAAGACAAATCCTTGAGTACTTCTTAAATGGAAGAAAATCAATCGACAATCAGTCCGTCGGCAATCAATAACTCTTTACTTCCCATATCACAATTCCTCAGTAGAGGCGACGGGAAAACGTATTACGATAATCTTCAACAGCATATTCTAGATGGTTGGAAATGGAGTACTATAGTGAGCTACAATGGAGCGGTAAAGAAGTTCTTAAAGTTTAGGAGTACCTATATGCATAGATCTATAAATTTACCGGCATCAAGTGACGAAATTTACGAGTTCTGTGTTTGGGCAGGGAGAACGAAGAGAGGTCCGACAAAAGAAGATATTTTGTCTCAAACTTTAGAGAAATACTTGTATGGTTTAAAAGCATGGCATCTGTACCATAGAGAAGACTTTCCAAAGGTTAAAGATGCAGTAATTAAATTGATGCTAATAGCATCAAAGAAGGTGGACGCAACGGTAGCAAGAGGAAACGAGAAGAAGGCAATTCATTTAGAACATCTATTAATACTCGTTGAAGAACTTATCAAAGGAGGCAAGAAAGAACTAGCGATTTTAGATACGATCTTATGTGCTTTTTGGAGTCTAGCAAGACTAGGCGAGATAACAGAAGATAAACACGACACATCAGAAATTATATTAAAATCAGATACAAAAGTAATAGTTGATGGCATCACAGAAGAAGCGTTTATTTCAATCAGAGGAGCAAAAACAGCAAAACTGGGGGAAATCCAAGTTCTACAATTGAAAGGCTTGAATCACGCGTTATGTCCAGTAGCAGCGCTCAAAAGAAGATTGTTGAGAGCTACGAATGAAGAAGATCCATTGTTCAGTTATATAATTAATTCGAGAAAAGTGTTACTTTCGAAACAAACGATAATATCAACTTGTCAATCAATTTGGGAAAAGAAGGGCTTTAAAGGCTTAACAGGACATTCCTTTAGGGTAGGAGGTGCTTCACTCCGTTTTGCATTAGGGGTACCTGTTGAAGATATTTGCGAGATAGGCAGGTGGAAGTCAGATGCATGGAAATTATACATCAAAGCTTACTCTTCAAAAGAATTATCATTGACAAAAGATATTTTACTACAATTGAATAAGAATAAACTGCATCGAAATCAAATAGAATGATAGATCAATATTAAACGGTTTTACAAGGCACACAGGAAAGAAAGAATTGGGGTTTCGTTTTAGAGGCTCAGTCTTTCATTCCTGAGTAGAGGTATATTAAAACTCAACCATAATTCTCGAATCTTAACTCGATTCTAAGATTTGGTAATCCCTCTAGTGTGTTCTTAGACCCCAAATACCAATTTTATATAGTCGTATAAGGATATTTTCAAGTATCTCTGATTCAAATTATACACAATCAGTGATAAGTGAAATTAGCTCGTCTAGATTCTTCAGCTAGATATAACTAGAAATAATCTAGAGCGCTAATATCCAATTTCCTAAAATTCTTCAAGATATTGGAATCGCTTCAATATTCCGGAAATAGACATATAGAATTGGTTGTTCCAAATTCTTATAACTTTGAAATACCAAAGTTCCTAGAATACGGGGGTTTTAAGTAAAACCCAAACACGGATAGCCCGGGACGTAAGAGTCGGGACTATCTAAAGAAAGTATTTAATTTTTCTTCAGAACCATAATACTTTCTTGAAAGTGTACATACTAGTTGGAATTACATAGATAAAGTGGATTGGGGAGGGTATCTCAGCCTGTCAATCTTTACCTGTGGGAGAAAAAGACCGTGGCCGCCACCCATGGCATGCATTCTGCATTCCCGCGCCCCAGTTAGGGTACGCATCACGCTCACACCCGGCGGTAGACCGGAGAAGCGGGGGGAAGCCTGGGACTTGGCTGGGACTCTGGCTGACTCTGGGACTCTGGGACAGACCTCTCATACACCATGATGGTATGCAAATATAGCACGACCCGTGTATGTAAATCCTGACTTACTGTTAGCCTACCAAAAACCTTTTGGCCATTAATGCCAGTAATATCCGGCGTATGTTAAGTGGTGGTATGTGGATATGTCCACGCCGGTGAACCGTGACGCCGCGGGGCGACTTTGAACTGGGACCACGTGAAATGTAAGTTGGGTATGACCACGCTGAGTGGTTGTGTAGAACAGGTGGCAGCAGTGTGACCGCGGCTACGTCGCCCTCACCCAAGCTTGTCACCTGTTCTACACATGGGCTCGCTGTGAGCAGCGAGCTCACGTTCTGCTAATGTGATGTACCATCCTAGCAGCGGGTGAGCTGATGCATGTGAGCGTGGCCTGAAAGCCAGGTGCTTAGCACCCAAATGAGCTTGGATGCCAGTATGAGCTGGGATGTGTCAGTACAACCTGCCATCCACACACTCAGCTTGGATAAACAGCATCCAAATTTATTGGGTGCTGAGCAGATGGATATCTTCTTAATGTGTGTAAACACAAAGTGAATTGAGATGAGTCGACAACTACTCCACAAAACAGGAAAAAGCCCATCCATTGCTGATGCATCTCACATTACACACAATTGGTTCTTTTGAGTTTGTACTTGAACTGATTATGAACATTTTAGATGTCTATCAAAAACAGAATCCGTAAATGCTAATTACATCAATATTGTACAAAACTAGCCTAATTATGGTATACAGTGAGAACATTTTTGTTATAAAAATATATGTCAGCCTTGTTGACACTATCAAAAAAGAACAAGACACAAAAAAAAAGTTGCTTGCATCACACACAGACATGAGAGGTATAAGATAAAAGTTGACAAAAAAACTTACAAGCTGAAACATTGACCAACATTGGTCTTGATGCAAGGAACCACAGGGTTTTCAACAACGGGACTTGTGAGGAAATTGCAAAAGGTTGTCAAAGTCAACAAGATCTATATACTGAAAATAGCAAAATCAGTGAACTTAGCAACGGTGGCTTGCTAATCTAAGCTACAGGTTTCATAACCTTGACCTAGGCTTAGCTTAGCAAGCCACCGTTGATGAGAGGAACTACTTACATGATACAAACTGGCAATGATAGCTTTGGAACCCTAGAAGACGATCAAAAGACAAATGAGATACAAGTCTATTAGTATCAAGTTGAGAGTATTGGATGACAAAGAAAAAGAAAAGACTTACACGATGGGGGTAGCTTAATATAAGCTAAGAACAACCAAGAAGAGCTATCGGCCAAAGTGATCCTGAAATTTGAAGGCCGCCTTTCCAAAAGCAGGCTGTGTAAATGTCACAGCCTGGTGTCATTTTCGGACCCTGGTACACATGATGTCAAGTATGACGCCACATACACATGTCACAGACTCCACAGTTACACTTTGTCCAATGTCCACTGCCGAGTCTCAGCTCGAGTCCTTCATCACTCACATCACATTGATCACCTTTGTGTTGGAGGCGCTCATTCATTCAACTTTTTTTGCATCATCATTCTGATAGGTTTTCTAACCACTCTTTTAAATTCCATTGGTTCAGATTCATATTTGCTGACTCTGGTTCTGTTCCATTCATATTGAAGTCCTTTGATCAATTGTTTCATTTGTAAGTCTTTCCTTCTTTCACTACACAAAATATAATATTTTCTGGGCAGAAAATTAAATTATTGATACACAGAAATATTGAGAGGCCAGGAGAAGGGCAAAAAATAAATTAAAATATGCATCTTGTTCCCTGCGGTGAGAGCTTCACTCTCCATATTTTTCCATATTTTTACAGTCCGTATTGATAAGTGTACTAACAATAAACCTTCATAATCATCCAATTACAACCTGTAACAAGCACTGAAATTTGGCTCATTAGTGTTTAGAGAAACTTTTGATTTCTGAAAACACCTATAACTTTGTCAAATCTGCCTCAAAACACTCGATTTTAAGTGCATTAGAAAGCTGAACTCTTCCTCTCAAACTTTCATAAGATCAAGAACTATGTAGCTAGTATGACAATCATTCTATGGATCTGTATGTACAAACGTATAAAAAAGATGATATCTTTTTTAGCAGACCAGCACACTGTGTGGTCCTATTATGAACTATTTGGAGGACAATTCCAGCTTACTAATGCACCCAAAATTGAGCGTTTTGGACCGGAATTGAAAAAGTTATGAGTATTTTCAGAAATCAAAAGTTTCTCTAAACACTAATGAGCCAAATTTCAGTGCTTGTTACAGGTCTAACTTAACTAAGTCCCTCTCGGACGAACGAGTAGTCGAGAGAGGGACTTATACCTTATACCACAACTTTGGCGTATGAGCCGGAGAAGTTTGGCTGGGCACCTTTTCAATCTTCCATATCTCTATAGCCTACAAACAAATATCCTCTGTACCAAAGAAAAGTCCTCTGCGCCTGATCATCCTACACACGCACATCTTTTCAAATCCCTTCTTTGCCGCCAGGGAAGCTCTTAAAAACCGACTTGAAAAATTGTTTTTGTGTAACATTTCAGCGCGTTTGGTGTGAGTTTTTGACAGGCTGGACAGCTTTGTGTCCGATTTTGGTGATTTTTGCAAACTTCACAATTGGATTGCTCCGTGAGTTCTGAATCAAATTAGATGTAGGCTACACACATGTGTGTAGATTAAGCAGGCGCATAGCTCTTTTCTTTGGTCCCAAGGACATTTGTTTGCAGGATCCACAGATATGGCGCGTTGAAAAATCCCCCGGCCAAATGTTTCCGGCTCATCCGCCAAAGATTTGGTATAAGGTATAAGTCCCTCTCTCGACTACTCGTTCGTCCGAGAGGGACTTAGTTAAGTTAGGTTACAGGTTGTAATTGGATGATTGTGAAGGTTTATTGTTAGTACACTTATCAATGTGGACTGTAAAAATACGGAAAAATATGCAGAGTGAAGTTCTCAATGCAGGGAACAAGATGCATATTTTTATTCATTTTTTGCTCTCCTCCTGGCCTCTCAATATTTTTGTGTATCAATAATTTAATTTTCTGCCCAGAAAATATTATCTTTCTTGTAGTGTTTCATATTTATCTCATTCAAGTTACTGTGAAGCTTGATGTCATGATTTGCTCCTGTTTGAAGTCTTAATTTCAAACCCTTTCATCGTTTGTTTTGTTTGTAAGTTCTCTTCTTCCCTTGCTCAAATGGTTTTCTGATATATCAATGAAGCTGAAGACTGATCTTTTGGTACTTTTCTGTTAATTTGTTCATATATTTATCACCATTCCTCTCTAGCAGATATCAATGGTCTCCTTCCTTTCTGTTCTCATAGTCTTATTGCCCCGTACACCTGGATCGATCTCGTAGATTGTAGGTCTTTCTTTGTCTCAATCTTTTTTTTATCTCTCACTGATCAATTCATTTGCTGATTGATTAATGATCCTTGTCAATAGAAACAATTGATCAAATCATATTATCAAGCACTACAATCAATAATCAAAAACTTTACTTGCAGACCATTTTTAGTTTAAGTTTTAGTTTTATGTTTTCTAACTGTTCTCAATGTTATTTGTGTTTCTGTGATTACTGCACGTAGTTCCTGTCAATGCAAAGATCAGATCAGTTATAGTGTGCACTCTGTGAGCAAAAGTTGAGAACATCCCAGCCTGATTCAACTGATGTGGTTATTCAGCCATTACAAGGATGGAAAAGCACTGGGATGAGCCAAAGCTCACCATCTCAATACAACTTCTATACAGTACAGGTGTGTGAGCTTCCCCGCCTGGTTGTCAGAAAGCTTGCCTCACACCCTTAACAAGGTGAGATGACTCACCTGCTTGTTGGGTGAGTCATCACGTTCTAGCAACATGATCAGATTGGGTGAAGCCCATGCTGGCTGTCAGGTGTAACTCACATTGGGTATGACAATGTAGACAGCATGTGTATGAATGGCAGAGGCAAATCTCACGTGAGCGTCACGTGCCACCTGCCCCGCGGTGGACATCCACACACAAACCTCCATACCCTATCGCCTCGAACACCTTCACCTCAACACTCACCATCCATCACCGCCAAAATGCTCCTACGAGATTTTACCGTTCAACTTATCACCCAGTCCCCTCACCTCGCCGCGACTCTCACTGTAGGTGACTTCATACGCTTCGTCTCCCTCGCGGCTGAAGTAAAGCATGTAGCCGCCGAATCCCTACGTCTGTCACTGACTCGCAATCCTGTGCTACCCTTTCTGGAATCCGCCCTTTCCTTTGAATCACCGAGCAACGTTCTGTCCGATCTGTGGCGTCTATCTTACCCCTTTCTGCACTCATGCACAATCGACTCGAAGGCATTAATCCGTGAATCCGGCCTACAACAGCACCTCACACCAAAATTGCCCAAAGGATTCTCACAATCACCGCTTTCAAACTGTACCCTATGCACACCAGACCATTCCTACCCGTTACACGTCCATTCACGCTCGACGGCTACCTACACAACATCAATGGTGTGCACGCGGTTCAGACTGTCATACTAAATTGTTCAAGTAAGTAATTTCCTGCTGGTTATCCAGAAAGACTATTCCAACCTGATGTATCATTCTCGTACCAGACCCCGATTGTGAAACTATGTATAGGCCAAGCCTCTACACACAAGAAGGTGAACGATACTACTACACACAGGGCATGGGACGCGACACAGATTACCTTCAAATTCATTGTCATTATTACATGACCACCCGTCTAGCCTACATGTTCCGAGTTTTAAAAATGGTAGGCCAGTAAGTTTGATTTTCAGGTGGACGTAGCCTCTCTCAAACAATTGTTACTAACTGTTTTAACTGTTTCCCACATAGCGTTAGCCATTTCAACCTTGTGAATTGGTTCAACATGGTATTTGTAGATAAGTCGCCTCCCCCTACCTTCAAAGCCAGCCAGTTGTTCTCTCCTTCAATGTTGGAGGAAGAGTGCTGTCACGGTCTCATACTGCATTCACTAATCAAGCACGCCGACCGTCAAGGCACCCGCCTAATGGTCAGCTCCAGCGGTACCGATAACCTCCGTTTCGAGGCTGCGATTGAATCACACTTGAATATGTTGCTGATTGAAGGGACGAAGTACCGCGACCACTTCTGTTCAAGTTGTGTCCGCCCGTTACCAGATGGTGCTGACCCTGAAACTGGTGAAAATTTTTGGAAAAGTAAGTCATTTCATCAATCCTTATTGCCACTTAGTCCACGACTGACATGGTCGCCTTGCACAGCCATACGCGCAGTTGTCACAGACGGAGTGACGTTGGGCCATTGGCGGTGCAGTGCTTCTACGGAACAATTGCAAGAAATAGCTCGCAGTGCGGGGGAACCAATGCCTGAAGGTCCTTGTACTCGCCAGTTGGACCGCATCAATGATCGATACTGCCCACTGCATTTTGCTCTACTCAGCAATTGATGCCGGGCACAACCTTGCCAAAAAGTTTGCGACCCTGGAAGCAACACCTGCAATGACGACGACCACATTAAAGCATGGGCAGATTTCAACAAACGGGTAACCGGGAATTTCTCCCTCACCTCTATCCTGACTTGACCTGGAACAAATCTCCCCACCGACCCAACCGTCCATTTAAACCCGGAGACTGCCGAATTTCAGGACCTGGACAGCTTGCGCCAAGCTGACAAGTCACAAAGGGCCCACGAGGCGGCACGCGACGGAGGCCAATCACAGGCATCCGGGAAATATTTGTTATCGAGATCTCGAACACACAATGAACAGCTTATTGTGGGGCCTTGTGGGATAATTTTGGCAAGGAAGACTTTTTACAATGCGGAGTCTGTCAGTGTGGTCAGAGTAAGCAGCACATGACCTCCAAAGTTCTAGTTTGACTCGAAATCTGACTTTCATTGGTTTTCAAATGTCTCTTTTGTCCACACAGGCCTTCCTTGAAGAGACGTTCCCTCGAGGAATGCCAGAGGTTGTCTTCTACGACAATGCGTGCAGGTTGACAGAACACATCTACCATGGGGATAACGACTGAAGCCAGTTCATGGGCACTGTCATCCCGGTTGATCCATTCCACCACCGATTGCACGCAGAATCAGATGAATTCTGTAAACTTTTCACTGACCCTCATCTCTTCCCTGATATTCAAGAGGGAGGGCAATGGATTTTCAACGCTTCGGCAGCAGAACTGACTAACATTTGGTTTGGTGGATACGCATCAATGTGCCGCAACATGCATCCGTTGCATTACAACCTTTTTTTAGAAGAGATGATTTATTTGAGAAATGTGTGGTTAACTAGAAAACTGGATAGAAGAAAAGGAATGGATCTTCTTGGCGAGGGGGCGATTAAAAGGGCAATTTAATGTATTTGTTATCTATTATCAATCACCATGTATCCTTGGTTTTCAATTGCAAAGCAAAAGAAATATTTGATTCGTATCGTGACAGACGCGTGAAAAAAGTTCTACTTGAACATCATTCACCCAATGATATTCCAAACCTGAATGGTCGCTGGATTGGACATTACCATTGTGGCGCTCAGCTTCCCAATTGGGATAACACCTCCGTGTTTCAAGTTTTTTTTATCATTCCTGTCGGAATGAAAAATCCAGGTCTCTCATTTTGGATTAACCTCACAAACACCAATTGTCATTGTTGTTAAACCTTCAGCATGCCGGTTTCTTACACTCCTGTCCTTGGTGCAATCCTACGTACGACATCCGATGTAAGTCATCTTTTTCTACTGGACCTATTTCTCTGCTTAGGTAGCCTTGCCTTCTGGTTTTATCTGGCTTGACGCTCCCGTTTTCACTTTCTAACTCGACTTCATCTAGCCGGTGCTTGTCATCCGAGGCCCATCACGATATCACCAACACACAAACCGGCCCGTAGTGAAGTGCACTACGGCCTCGGCGACGGTACGATGAGGTTTAATTTCTAAACCTCACCGTAACCGTAGTGTAGTCAATAATACTACTAGCTCAAACCCATCACTACGGTACGGTCAGCCCGTAGCGGACCGAACCGTAGCCACCGTAGCCACCGTAGGCTACGGACGACTACGCTCAAAAAAACGAGAAAAAACAAAAAATATTGATTTGAGAAAACAAGACATAAAGAAAATAAAAAAGGACATCGTACTTGATGGAACCGTTATGATGGTCCTCCTTTTGCTACTGGTTTACCTCATTATGGTCATCTTTTGATGGGTACTGTCAAAGTTGGTTTTTCTAAAATCTTTCATTCTCTTTTCTGATCGATCATTTAACTAAACTCAAACATTTTTTTCTCATAATAGGATATTGTGACTAGATTTGCTCTTCTTGATGGTCATTATGTTGAACGTCGATTTCTTTGGGATTGTCATGGATTACCAGTGGAACATGAAATTGACAAGAAACTCCAAATCAAATCAAAAGATGATGTGATGAAGATCAGAATCAAAGCTTATAATGCAGAATGTAGATCGATCGTGATGAGATATTCATCAGAATGGAGATCAACAATTGAAAGAATGGGGAGATGGATCGATTTTGATAATGATTATAAAATGTTAAATGTGGATTTTATGGAAAGTATGTGGTGGGTATTTAAACAACTTTGAACAAAAGGTCAAGTTTATAGAGCAAGTAGGGTAATGCCTTATTCGACTTCTTGTACTACACCACTTTCAAATTTTGAAGCCGGAAGTGATTATCATGATGTGAATGATCCAGCAGTCACATTTTTGTTTCCATTATTGGAGGATCCAAATACTTGTTTATTGGCTTGGACAACTACTCCTTGGACTTTACCATCAAACTTAGCAAAACTTGAGGGTGTATACAAATACCGGAGTGACCGTACTGCACTCCGAACTACGGTGGTGATACCTCCGGAATACGGAGACAGCGGTACGGAAACCCCCCCTAATTACCTGGCGAATACCAGACTACGGTACGGTTTGACCGTAGCAGGTCGTACTGCAGCCTACGGTCTCCAGACCGTACCGCACCGCACCATAGGCCGTTTTTCCCTGCGGTTCGGTTTGTGTGTTGATATCACAGCACTCCAACAGAGCTCGTGCTGAGGGATGATCGAGGGAAGCCTTTCACCGTGGCGCTTGAAGCGCGTGGTTTGAACTTGTTGGAATCCAACGTCATCCGCCGTGATCGCACATATCATTTGTCTGGAGACCTTGGACAAAACCCTGTGACTCGCGAATGTTTCATCAAGCACAGCGAAATGACACAAAGTGATATTGGCTCTTTGGCTCCTGCCCACGAAGCGATTGCTGGCAAAGCAACAATTGCTGGGATTGGCAAGGTGGTAAATGTCTCTCTTGACAACTTCAACGATGATGAACATTTTCATCTGACTGTTGAAGCCGAACATGAGTTCTTTGATACTAAAGTAAGCATCTGTCTTGATCTTAATTTCTCTGTCTTGATGTTAATTTCTTCATTGACTGACACACTTAATTGGTTTGATTCCTCAGGCAAATAAGTCCGTTCGTTTTGAGATCATATATTGCTTTGAATATTTCACTCCTGCATTGAAAGAGGCCAAGTACATCAAGAAAGGCTCGCCTGTTTCTTTCCAAGGTCTTCTCGTTTCCCAAGACCCACCATCGAAACATTTCATTGTTCAAGTACGCATTTCTTTCGATATTTTCACTGAAATGTTTGTTTGTTTACTGACTCAATTCCCAATTGATCGTTAGGTTATGCACCATGCCAAAATCGCTGTGAATCAAGATGAGGAAGACGTGGTCCAAGGAAATAGTGTCGTTCAAGGGAATGTAGTATGGGTGGAATGATTGTGTGGCTGGCTCAGAGCTTTGAAAGAAGCGCTTTACAATACGATCAAGTTCTTTACTTTGTATAGACCAATTTGCCTTTCGCTGTGCTGCTCCCACTTGTTTACTGTGGTTGCAATGGTTACATCCTCACTGTTCCCTTTAAGCCTTTCAAGAGGCCTAACTACTCTTTGGGCTCACTCAAATGACTTATATTTATATATATTCCCATTTCTGTAATGGGAAAACCACGTGAAAGAACCTCGACAAAGAGGTGCGGAAAACATATGAAAAGACACTCACTGAAATTTTATTCTATTTGAATTTAACTTAACGCGTGACATAACCTTGAGAAAGAGGAGGTGATGAAAGCATTTGCAAAGACACTCTAATTTTAATCCAATTCAAAAAGTGAACTCAAAAATGAGGTGCGGAAAACAAATGAAAAGACACTCTAATTTTATTGTGTGAGTTATAACCATTTTCTGGAATGGGATAGCAGGTGCATGAAAAAAAGGATTGATGGGAAATCGAATAATGGTTGGTTAGTGAACAGTCTTTCCACTTTGACTGGAATCAAAGGTGTTCAACATGAAAAACAGTACTACGTACAAGACTACTCCTCAACTTTGCCCTTAACATACGCGGCTTTGTCAAACTCGTCCTGGTAGCAGTCGCGAGCCTCGGCCACAGTAGCTTGTGGTTGAGAACCGTACTTGGCAAGAAATCGGGGGTAGGTGACTAATTCAATCCAATTTTGGTATTGATAGACAGTGGATTTATTGAACAGCCATACACTGCCCCAACGCCTCTTCCACTTCAGCTTGACATTCCCGTTTTCAGTATCCTGATGCCATTCAAGGAGGCTGGAAACTGGGGAGTCCAATGGGGGCCAGTGCTTCTTGAGGCTCTGGACGGTCACTGAAGAGGATGGCCTATTTAAACAAATGAAATCAGGTGAACAAGTTCAATTGTTCTACTGTGCAGGCATGCTGTACTCACTCGTCAAAGTTTGTTTGCTCAAGCTTGCTCTCAATGTCATCATTGAGAGGCTGAGTCAAATCAATGTGGGTACTTGATGTACTCGGAGTTGGTTCTTGAATGTCTGGATGTTGCTTGAGGGCCGTTGCGAGCTGCGCCAGCGTGGCAGTTTCAAGATGGGAAGCAGCTTTTATTTAATTTGAACTGGTCTCGATTCTGGCTGGTGGTGACAACAAGGGCATGTCGTGAATTGGTGGAAGGTCTGAAGTGGATCAATATTCTTCAGCACAGGGTGGTTGGGTCACCGTCTTAGGGTTCCACATGGAGGGCGGAATTGCAGATTCAGGAACGGTGACAGTCGGTAGTCGCGCTACAATTGTGTGACTAGTGAACCAATGGGGATAACTCGCTAGGGTGTCGTGCTAAAGGGGAGATATTATGTCAGATGATGTCATGAGGCGCAAGATCCATTAGAATAATGACCCAGGCGTAGATTTGCTCGTCCCAAAAGGTGAGCACTTGGTTCCATTGAGAGCCCACAGCCTTGATGACTGCCTGTAACAACAGTGGACTTTGATCAAGGCAAGCAAGTGGCCATTGAGGAAACTTTGCAGTGATCGCCTGCTTTTCATTAGGCTGCATCGGTCGGAAAAGGGGGTGATGAGCTGGCTCTTGAAGTAAACAAAGGACTACATTCAACTCACATTAACCCATAGATGGATTGTTGCCATGCTCTTCTCGTCAATTAGGCTATTTGCGGACAACTCTTCTTCTCGGTCTCGTGCAGCGCGGTTTTGGTGACACATCACAAAGGTTTCAGCGTCAATGTGTTGGCCCATGGAGTTGTACCCTTGCACCCACTGATGAGGGTTGGATTGGGAGGCTGGTGCTCTTGACTGGGCTGCGATGATGCGGGCAGAGGAGGAGGTGCTGGTGGTAGGTTCACCTCGAATGATACTTGTGGGGCTCAAGTCATTGCGTGCATTGTGAGTGGTTCCCGTGGTGGCAGTGCAAGGGTGCTGGCGACACAGAGCTGACCCATAGGCTAGGCAGCACTGGTAACGTAACCCAAACATGAATGGGTGGAAATTGGCAAACAACAAGGTGGAAAGGGACTTACGCCACGGCAATACTGAGATAGACACGCTTTGTTAGCGGCACTCTTATGGCTTTGAGAGGCTGGCCCCTCAGCTGAACGTTGACACTTCAACACCGGTTGAGAGCATGGAGCGCGTGTTGCCGTATGGTGGGTCGTGGTGTTTTCGACTTGAGTTCGTGGCGAGTCAGGGTGATGGCGGTTGCGATTGTTGTCATCGGGCTTCGGTTTGAGAGTGTGACCAGATGGTGACACTTAGGGTTAGGGTTAGGGTTAGGGTTAGCTGTGTATATGCTGTGTTTTGAATGTTCTACACCAGGGGGTAAATTTTTGTTGGAATACGAGCAAGAAAGAGGTCGTGTTGAGATCTGGCCAAACGCCGGCCACAATCCCAGTGTTTGACCAGATTTTGGCTGGTACTGCTATACCAGCTGATTTCTGGTCAAACGCTGGGATTTCGGCCAGAAATCAGCTGGTAAGCCGGCTGGTTGGTCTGGCAAGAGATCAACCAGCCTTTTGGCGAGCAGAAGACGGTAAGAGGAACTCTCTTCCAGGAACATCAAACTGGAGGCTGTGCAATTAAAGTTCCTTAATCACATTTGCCTCCATTGCCGTGGTTCTAGCCACCCCTTTTTTATTTTGACAACACAAGAGCTCCTAGAATCCATTCTTTGGTCTAGGAGTTCCTTGCCATGTTGTTCTATCTGAATCCCTCAACCCACATGGGGTGGATGGCATGGCTGAGGGAAGGAACAATCAGGTTTGCTGATTGGCTCCCTCATGATCAGCGGTGTACAAACTTTACTCGTAGACGGTCTTTAGGCCGCCATATGGCCCATCTAACGGAGGTCTGGCAATCTTGCCTTCTTCTCGCCGCGCCACTGACCATCTGGCGGCGGTTCTCCACCACCAAGCATTTCTCGCCTTCGGATGGTATTCCATGACCGCCATCCAATGGTACAAATTACCCCATGGTGTAGAATGAATATTGATTTGATCTTATGATGATTCAGCATTTCAATGATGTAATTGCTTGTTATTAATGATTTGTGATCTTGTTGATGTGTAATCAAATCCTTTGATCCCTTATAACTTTTGTCATACACCTCTGTTACTAATAATTTAAAGATTGTAAATTATGAAATGAATGATTTTGCGTCGAATGAACTATTGCTCATCATGTTCTGACGTCATTTGACACATGTAATCAGCTGAAAACCTTCATTTTCGACGATTTTCACCTATTTTCTTCACTTTACACACCTTTTACTAAGCTTTTCTTGTCTTCTGTAACATTACACAGCAATATCTAACCGTGGATATCCCTAAAAACACTCTTGGCAGCCTCAATTATTACTAATACCACTGTTACATATGTAAAACTACCTGTAAACCCTTGTTCACCAATTTCGACTTTTTTCCATTTCCTTGATAACTTCTATTTTCTCTTATCAACCACCAAGATTAAAGTTGTTACTGACTAAAACAATGCTCCTCTTTCGTATTATAACCCTACTAAACCCACAAACCTAATATTGATACCCTAAAAACCATTTCTCAACCTGTATACCTATATTTTCGAGTTTTTCTTATGTTTTTTTCTTTCTTTCTTTTTGTAATCTGTTTGGTAATAGTTTATACTTATCTTATTAAGTTTTTTAAAAGGATAAAATGATGTAAATATTAAACTATATTTAATATAGGCCCTTGCTATTTGCAGCCCACACAAAATCCATGTAGGCGCTGCCAAAACAACGCCTACATGAAGGTTTCCCACGAAAAAGCGCCTACATTTATGATGTGGGCGCTTTTTCCTTTTTCAAATGATGCCTACAGGCTGAAAAACCGAAGTAGGCGTCATTTGTGTACGCCTACATTCTAAAAATAAAATGTAGGCGTAAATTTGAAGCGCCTACATTGTGTAGGCGTCATGAAAATGCGCCTACATTTTTTTTTTGACTGTAGGCATAATTTTGGTGCGCCTACATATTTTAATACCAACACCCTTATAATTTAATTCCAACACCCTTATAATTAATTATAAGACCCTTATAATTGATCTCACCACCCTTATAATTAATCTCACCACCCTTATAATTAATCTCACCACCCTTATAATTTAATACCAACACCCTTATATATTAATACCAGCACCCTTATATATTTGTATTCACACGTGTATAAGACCCTTATAACTAACTTAAGCGCCTACATGGAAAAAACAATGTAGGCGCTTGAAAATAGCGCCTACATTTTATTTTTAAAATGTAGGCGTACACAAATGACGCCTACATTGGTTTTTCAGCCTGTAGGCGTCATTTGAAAAAGGAAAAAGCGCCTACATCATAAATGTAGGCGCTTTTTGGCGGAAAACAACCGTGTAGGCCTAATTTGGACAGCACCTACATGGATTTCATGTGGGCTGCAAATAGCAATGGCCTTAATATAATTGATGTAACTCAAAATTTGATTTTTTTTGATTTTTTGATTGGTCTCATAGATTGATTACCACACCGGTGCCACAAAGCCTCATGGCACCCTAAAGGGGCGCATGGCGAGGGCGAGGGGGCAGGAAACGCCCTGGCCCTGGCCCCGAGCCACATGTGGCCTTTGCAGGGCGCCCTCCGGGTGCCCCACATCCAATAAAAAGTCTGATCAACAAAGAAGAGACTTTCATGAAGACGATCGATCGAAGTTGAACCTATTGATTGTTTTCATTCTGGAATGGTTGATAGGGAGCTTCTCATCCCTCATACACTTCTTTAACAGCTTCACATCTTCCAAGGACTGAACATCATTCTTGAACCTTTGCTATTCCAAAGTATGAAAAGATAGAATAACTTTTGTTTGACCTTTAATGAAATCATCCATTGTTCTCTAATTGTTCTACCTAAATTAATCACAGCTCGTATTTTTTCATTCTTTTAACAATCACTGGACCAAAAAACATCATCTGTAACAATCAGAAATGAAGAAGTCTCATATCATTTCTATCTGTGGTTGGTGACAGCAAGAAGCATGAAATCACGGACCGGGTAATTTGTAATTACAACAACCAAAAACCCAAATTCATCAGTCTTATAAAAGTTAAAAAAAACAAGACTTTTGAAATGTTTTCTGCTGAGGATAATTTTGGATAGCCCTCAACAAGACGACCTCAGATCTATCTTGATTTGTTTTGTAAATGATTTTTGCGACTTGTGGAACAATTTTTGGAAAAGTACCCGATTATGTGGTTCTTGCTGTCACCAACCATAGTATCATCTTTCTTGAGAAAATTCAGCTCTCATGAATCTGAATGATGATGTGACCATAACAAACCTGACTGATTTCAAATTACAGGCTTATGAGACAAATGAGATGAAATGTTTGTATTTGGTTCTCAGTGAGCTGGAGATCCTTGGTAAGCTCAAACTAAGGAATCTGATTCCAAACTTTTCATTTTCTTCTCAGTTGAAGAGTGACAGTTTTTTTGTACTGGACCGATAGAAAGCTCAACTTTAAAAGCGAGCTGAATGTTTTTTCAGAGGACATAGTTTGCATTGCAGAGAAATCAGAACAAAATATCTTAAGGATTTGAAAAGACTCTTTTTGAGCTAATTGAGGATATAAAAACGACGTATTGAAAAGGTATGTAAGTGAAGATTTGGCTTGTATTCCAGAGGCACTGATCAATTTGCTTCAAACTTGAAGAAAGACAAGAGATATGTATAAAAACTGTTAGTTGAGGATATTCATCCAACTTTTCAAGCACACTTGCTCCATGAGAGTATCAGCCTTCATTGAGCATCTGTAATTGTCCATTACACGACCTGCATCTGAAAAGCAGCTTTTGGACGGAACACTGGTTTCTGGAATTTCAAGTATAGCTTGAGCAAGCTTGCTTAGGTGAGGGTACTCAAGGAAGTTGAGTTGCCAGTAACCTAATGGGGTTTGAGTTTGAGGCTTGCGTGACTAAGTGTGATATGATGTGATTTTGTCTCAAAGGTGAAAAACAGGACGAGAAGTTGAGGCTTCGCCAAACAGATCATCTGAGCTGAGATTTGGTTGATTAGCTTCAAATGACTCAATGGTGTCTGTAATTCCAAGACAAATACACTCGGTGTTGATGTGATACTCCAGAGTATCACACAATACAATGGTGGGACAGATTCCCTCAAGTTTGTTCCTGGGATCGAGACCTGCTGCTATGAGATAGGTGGGCTTCCGGATGGCATTGTTCCTGTAAAGGGTAAGTTTATCGTACATGGGCTTCAAAGCTGATTGGATACCAGGCATTACGTCTGAATCTGATGTGTTCATGGACTGCAACAATAATTGAAGATATGAGCAAGTGACAATAGACCAACATTACAGTCAAACCTGTGCAATTGCATAATTTGGGTGGAAGACTTTTCCTATGCATTTTCACGGGTTATGCAATTCCATTGTCTAGTTTGGCGGTAAAAAGTATCAAGATCTAGGAATTTTTCTATGCATTGTCACAGGTTATGCATCTGTGCAGGTATGCATTTGCACAGGTTTGACTGTAGATGGGATCTGTTCTCGGTACCCACCATTTCAAGACATCTAATCATATTTTTGTAAGCTAAGACTGCTAAGGATAATGTAGGGTATTTGGAAGCTGAAAGCTTGGATGCGACTTTTTCAAAAGGTTGAAGAAATTTAACCAGATTTTTGAGTATATCCCATTCAAGGTCACTGATTTGGAGGTCAACATATTGAGGGTCATTGTTGAGTTTGAAGTTAATAACATGTTTCAATCAAAGGACACGGGCACAGACATGACTGAGAGAGTTCCAACGAGTCAGGCATTCAGTTTGAAGTCCAAGCTCTTTCTCAATTCCAGGTGTTTTTAATGCTATTTCTCAAATGTCCAATGCAAATTGATGACAATTTTTGTACTTATTTGAGAGTTCATTTATCTTTTGAAGGAGACATGCAGTCTTTGTCAAAATGATGTGGTCAACAGCGTCAGCA